TGAATCACCTCACACTTTTCAGGGTTAAACTCCATCTGCCACTTCTCAGCCCAGATCTGCATTCTATCAATGTCCCTTTGTAACCTTGAACAGCCCTCTGCACTATCCACAACTCGACCCACCTTTGTATCATCCGCGAACTTACTAATCCACCCTTCCACTCCTTCATCCAAATCATTTACAAAAATCACAAATAGAAGAGGACCCAGGACAGATCCTTGTGGTACACCACTCGTAACTGAGCACCATGTTGAATATTTTCCATCCACTACCATCCTTTGTCTTCTAAAGGTCTTCTAAGGTAAATTGTTGGAGGATTCTGAGAGACAGGATCTACACGCATTTGGAAAGGCAAGGACTGATTAGGGATAAGTCAGCATGGCTTTGTGCATGAGAAATCATGTCTCACAAATTGGATTGAGTTTTCTGAAGAGGTCACCAGGAAGATTGATGAAGGCAGAGTGGTAGATGCTGTCTACATGGACTTTAGCAAGGCCTTTGACAAGATTCCGCATGGTAGACTGGTTTGTAAGGTTAGATGACATGGGGTCCAGGGAGAGCTAGCCAATTGGGTACAAAATTGGCTAGACAGTAGGAGACAGAGGATGGTGGAACACCCTTGTTGTTCAGATTGGAAGCCTGTGACCAATGATGTGCCACAAGGAATGGTGTTGGGTTCAGACCTGAACGCCAGGAGGAGCCATGCCTTTGCTGCTGCCGCTGCACTTTCACCCTATTTACTGCTATTTTCCTTGTCAGCATACTCTTTCCCTTGCTATCCCACAATGGCTATAGTTATCCAAAGAAGAGTCCTGTGAGTCTGCCATATTCTCTTGCTTTGTAAGCCTGTGTTTCCCCTCTCTCAAACCCTCCTTCCTTATAACTAGTTTAAATCCCTGTCTACAACCCTAGTTAATTTGCCACACTCTGGTTCCAGCATGCTTCAAGTGAATCCCCATTGCAGCATGCCAAGGACAGTGAAGTGAGACGGTCTGTTCTTTCCAGTCTGGCAGCTGGACACACCATTGTTCTGCCATTCTCACATTCCAATCACTTAATCTGAACTATCAACATCCTTTCTCCCCCAGCACTCCACCCTCCCCACCCCATGCTCGCCCCAACAACTATTGCATAAATGCTGCCCCCTCCACACTTCACTTCAGCTCTGATGAAGAGTCATCCAGACTCGAAACGTTGGCCCGCCTTCTCTCCATGGATGCCACCCGACCGCTGCGATCTCCAGTATTCCTGTCCTCAGTCACAATCTAATGCATAAGCAGTTTTTATTTTGCAAAAAATGAGATAATGCCACTGGAGACTTAAACACAAACCGAAGACTTTTATTTAAAGACTCATTATTTCATTAGTCCTACTTGCCAATCAGCTTCTTTCCATGCATATGTGTCACACTGTGGTTTGTGGGATCATTCTACCGCTGGTCTCACTGCAGGTCAGCATCTTGATTCATGTCTGCTGTCAAACTCATCTCCAAATGCCAAGACCTGGTCTCAGCTTCCCCCTCTGTAACTGGATCCTCAACTTCCTGACCCATAGACTGCAATCAATAAGAATAAGTGACAACACCTCTTCTATGCCAATCTTCGGCACAGGTGTCCCGCAAGACTGCGTACTCAGCCCCCAATGACTCCTTATACACTATCTCTGACTCCAACATCTGCAGTTCACAACATCTACCTCCATATAAAAATCAGCATGTTTTCACAGATCATCCTGCATCAAGTTACATAAGGAAACCTCAGGGCACATGAGAAATGTTTTAGGGAACATTTTAAAAGAGAAAAGATTGGCAAAGAGAAGGGAATTCCAGCTTTTAGGACCCAGGCAACTGAATGCACAGCACCCAGTGGTGAAGTGATTAAAATCAGGCATGCTGAAGAGGCCAGAATTGGAGGAATACAGAGAAATCAGATGGTGCTAATATTGGAGGACGTTTCAGAGGTAGGGACGGAGGGAGCAAGGTCATGGAAGGATTTGGAGACAAACATGAGAATTTGAAAACTGAGGAATTTCCGGGCTGGAATTTCAATTGGCTTTTGATCCACTCATGCCCTAGCATTACCAACAACCAGAGCAGTTTAGAATCGACTCAGTCACAGCCAAGAACAAAGATGGTAGAAATTCTTTATTGGCAAAATTATCCAAATACAGTTACCTTAGGTAAAGTCACCATACAGGAGGGCTTTTGAGACACAGTGATTGGTCCAGAGGGAGGGACACAATCTGGACCCATCTGCTTCAGAGGTGTGTGTAGTGGCATCTCTGAACAGGTTGATTAGAAAATATCCCTGAATTTACCACTGTCCCAGTAGACCATAGGGCTGCCTTCGCATTAGAGAGACGCAGCTGGTGGGGAGTTTAATCTGAAGGTCACTGAGCCTCAGGCAAGGGGAGAGATCGAGTAGATGGGACATTCAAGATGACCTCAGTTGGTGCAGGAATTGAATCTGAGCTGTTGGCATCACTCTGCATTCCACCCAGCCATCCATCCAACTGGGCTAACCTAGAGAATCTTAGCTGGGTTCTGAATGAAATCACCTAAATTCCTAAAACAGATTAGAAATATAAATGTGTAAAGAAGGAAAATGCCTCTGTTAATTGGTAATTAAGTAGAGATTATAAATTCAAAAGCATTTGAGGGGGAATGAGGAAATATTTCTTAACACACAGTGTGCTCAAAAATGATCCAAATGGCATAGAAAAGGTGAATTGCAAAAGGTTTTTTCCCTAAGGTAGGGAAGTTCAAAACTAGGGGGCATATTTTTAAGGTGAGAGGAGAAATATTTGAAAGGGACCTAAGGGGCACAGAGGGTGGTTCGTACGTGGAATGAACTGCCAGAGGAAGTGGTAGATGCAGGTACAGTTCCAACATTTAAAAGACATTCGAAGAAGTACACGAATAGGAAGGGTTTAGAGGGAGTAGGAACTGCTGATGCTGGAGAATCTGAGATAACAAGGTGTAGAGCTGGATGAACACAGCAGGCCGAGCAGCATCAGAGGAGCAGGAAGGCTGACGTTTCGGGCCTAGACCCTTCTTCAGAAATGGGGGACGGGAAGGGGGTTCTGAAATAAATAGGGAGAGGGGGGAGGCGGATAGAAGATGGATAGAGGAGAAGATAGGTGGAGAGGTGCAGTGGGAGAGAGATCCACTGAGGTTTTTCCGGAGGGAGGAGGGTAACTTCTTCAGGGTAGGCATCCTTTTACCTATCTTCTCCTCTATCCATCTTCTATCCGCCTCCCCCCTCTCCCTATTTATTTCAGAATCCCCTTCCCCTCCCCCATTTCTGAAGCAGGGTCTAGGCCCGAAACGTCAGCCTTCCTGCTCCTCTGATGCTGCTCGGCCTGCTGTGTTCATCCAGCTCTACACCTTGTTATCTCAGGGTTTAGAGGGATATGGGCCAAACACAGGCAAATGCAACTAGTTTAGTTCAGGAAACTTGTTTGGCACGGACGAGAGTCTGTTTTCATGCTGTATGACTGTATGACCCACTCACTGCAGGTAACATTTGTACCTTAGTCCACTAGAACCGTTCAAAAGACACTTTCTTCAAGCAGACTCTATGATAGGGTTATGAAGTGGCGCTGATGGGTCAACTCTTTCAAAGACCCACCTAGGACAGTTGAAATGGCTTTGTGTATTCCAAATATTCTCATGGTCTTTATCTCACATCTCTGTTGCATTCACCATAAGTTATAAATAAATCAGAGAAGGGAGTGCATTAACTGGCATTGGAAAGCTGTTTCCTCACGTGAACAGCTATAGTTAGCTTTCACCGTCACCTCTCACTCGCATACCACTATTGTTGTAACAGAGTGAATTAACTAAAGTCCACACTTGTTAAATTAATTACATTTTCATTTTCTATAGACTGTGCCTCTGGAATGTACTTATTTTTCTACCTCTACAAGTTAAAAAGTGTTTGCCCCATTGTGCACCCACTGTCTGGACACACAAACAATGTAAAATTGTGCTAATGCACAAGGAACGTTTTCCCTTTCACAGCAAGTGGTTTTCTTTCAGTGATGCAAATTGTCACATACTCAAGTCTTTTCAGGAGCCCCTTGAGAATTGTAACTACTACTACCGCACACTAGTGAGTTGGAAAAAATTATGTTGCATAATGATAATAGAAGTGAGATACACATTACGTATCATTTGGCTGACAAATGTTCTTTAGGAAAGGAATGTGTCGCAATCCAGTTTGATTCATGTCTGGCTTCTGAGGGAAAACTGGACCAATGGGGGACTGAAAGCTGGAGGCAGAGGGGAAGAAGAGTAAGATATGGAGATGAAGAGAAGGAGAAAGGGAGGGGGGAACAGTGCATGGGATTGGGATGGGAGGAGTGGAGTGGGTGGTGGGGGCGAGGTTGCAGGGTTGGGGGGCACGGGGAGAGTGGGGATTGAGAGCAGGGGAAGCAGGAAGTAGGGAAAGTGAGGTGGTGGGAAGAAGTGAGGAAACAGAAAGAGGGTGTGGGGGTGGAAGCAAAGGAAAAGTGATCAGAGAGAGAATGGGGGTGGGGGCAAGTGGGGGGGCAAGTGGGGGGGAAGTGGGAGTATGCTGTGAAGCTCTCAGAGCAGAGCCAGGGCTGTGAACACTGAGAAAAAACGGCGTGGCTCTGGGTTGTAATCCATGGTTAAATAGTCACTGTGCTCCCTTTTTCCGCTTCACGCTGTTACACTGCAATAAAACTGTGAAACACACGGGCTACAAACTCCCCAAACTAACAGATAAATAAATAATCAAAAACATCATTCGGGGATTGCAACAACCTCTCCAAATCCCTGCATTCATAGTTGCACAATTAATAGATACATTAATGACCCCCTGATAGATATCAGGCAAATAAATACAATCTACAACGAAACTGTTACATTAAAATAAACATGGTGTCTTGATTTTATTTTATTCCTGACATCCAATCCCCTACCACCCACCGGATTGATGTCTCTCTCTGTCAATGGGACAGGACTTCTCTCTCACCTTCTAGATGCGGTGCTCAGCTTCTTTACTCCAGGAATAACGGGCAACAGAAACGCAGGAGCATTCACTCTACTCCATTTATCGCTTTTCAGGTCCTTGTCGCTCTCAAATATTTTGACTGTCTGTTTGACAAGACTTTGCGTGTCTGCAACGAATTCCTCCCTCTGTCGAACAGACTCGGCACCGCCTCTTCCTCTCTGACAGCTTTACTGACTACACTCACATCTACATCTGTTGTGAACACACGCTCGCTCACTGTGGCGAATAGATACATTCAGTAACAGTCTCTGTTGTGAATACACACACACTCAGTCATAACCTGTCCCTTTTGTGAATTTACACACCAGATAACAATCAATCATGCTGTTGTAAACACACACGCGGGCAGTAATAGAGAGGGAACTCAAGTGGGGCATCAACAATAACTAGGACTGGTTGGGCCAAATGGCCTGTTTCCGTGCTCTATATCCTATGTACTCCTATTCTTAGACAGTCCCTCAATATCAAGGATGATCTGCTTCCAGTTTGGTTCCACAGGTTGTGAGATGGCTGATATATCCAGTGCACAAACTGCAAACTCTGCTACTACCTCCAGGGCAGGTAGTGCTTGAATAGTTGGGTTGACAAACTGTTTGGAGTTATGCGCACTTCCTCTGAGCCTCCACCTCATAGTAAACTCTCTCAGTGTGTCATGTGTGTTACCACATCAGCATCCTCCATTTTGGTCAGTTCCTAGCTAGCGTTTCCAATGAAATGGCAGGGGATGTCTCACCTCTTCAGGGATAATTTGGGGACATACCTAATATGTTTCTGCTGCCCTCCTGGGAGTCTCCACAGTTCCAAGTGCAGCAGTTGCCTTGAGATAACACTAGTAACATGTCACACAGCAGAGCTGGTTTGAGTGATTAAAACTTTGATGGTGGTCCAGTTGGTTTGGGAGTGTACTAAGTGTAATGCGATGTACAACATATACATAAATACAAATACAAACAGGCCTGAAACTGGCTGCAAGTCCTCCCAGAGCAGGACACAAATGTCGGCAAGAAAACAATTAGTATACAACTTACAACCTGTAGCGGTATCTGCTAAGACAGATTGCACAAAAATATTTTGCTCGGTGTACAGTTCTTTCTAGCTCCACTCCCTCTTGTCACACAAAGTGCATTTCTGAAGATTTTACACGAGTCTGCTGTTACTGCTCGAAGTAAAACTCTCTTATTCTGGAGGGAATGGTAGTGCTACACAGCATTCTCCCCCAGCAGTTTTGTGAGTTCAGAATCCAACTCTAACAAACATATTCAGGGAGGTTTCTGACCTCACTGCCCCTTCATTGGTCACTGGACATATCCATCCTCACAGCCTCCTGTGACAAATTGGGAGAATTGATTGTGATGCCAAAGTGAGGGATATGCCAGGCCATGAGCTTGCAGATTGAGTTGGAGCACGATTCTGTTGCCACTAATGGCCCACAGTATCTCATGGATGCCCAGTTTTAAGTTGTTGGGTCTGTTTGAAATCTGTCCCATTTAGGACAGTGATAATGCCACCTAACAAGATGGGAGAATATTCTCAATGTGAAGACAGGACTTCATCTCCAAAAGGACTGTGTGGTGGTCACTCCTACGAACACTGTCATGGAAAAATGCATTTGTGGCAGGAAGATTGGTGAAGATAAAATTAAGCATGTTTTTCCCCTTTGTTGATTCTTTCAAACCCGCCACAGACCCAATCCAGCAGCTGTGTCCTTTAGGACACACTCAGTCAGTAGTGTGGTGCCGACAAATTCTCTGTTATGGATTTTAAAGTTCTACACCCAGAGTACCCTTGCCACCCTCAGGGCTTCCACCCAGTGGTGTACAACATTGAGGAGCACTGATTCATTAGCTGAAGGTAGGAGAGGGAGCTAGGAGATGTGAGAGGTGGTCATCCACAGGAGGTTTCCATGAAGTGATTAACATTGTTGATACTTATGAGGCTAACGTTAGAGGAATGCAGACGTCAGGTTGTGGTGCGTGAGAGATTGCAGAGATATGGAATGAGGGAAGAGGTGAAATCAAGATGGGAAGTTGTAAACATTGTGAACTTTAAATTGTAGCATTGCTTAAATGGCAATAAACATTGGTGAGAAAGCAGATGGGTGATAAGAACTGGGTTTATGTAAAAACACAGGCAGCAGAATTTTAGTGGACCTCAAGGTTAAGGAGGTTAGAATGTGAGAGGTAGGACAGGAAGATGTTAGGATAGTTACATCCGGGCGTAACATGGGCACAGATAATAGTTTCACCAGCAGACAAATTGAGGCAGGCCAGAGATAGGTGATAAAATGGAGGTGGAAGTAAGTCTTGGTTTTGGTTTGATAAGGTGGTTGGGAAGTTCAAATTGTGGTCAACTGCAACAGGTTGTGAATATTTCAGCCTTGGGCATTTGCCATGGAAAGGGACGGAGTCTGTGGTTAGGGAACACCGTTTGTCACATGGACCAAAATCGAAACATGGACTAAGCTGGATGAGGTTATGAGTGTAGGATGGTAAAGCTAGGGCTGTTACCCTTTGAGAAGGTTGAAATCTGATCAAGGCATTCAAAATCATGTGTGTATTTGGATGAAGTAGATAGAGAGAAACCATTCCCAATGACAGAAGAGTTAAGAACCAGAGCATACCAATTTAAGGTGATTGGCAAAAAGAGGCAAAGGCAAGATGAGGGAAAGATTTTACTCAGTGACTGGTTAGGATCTGGATTGAAACACAGAAACATAGAAAATAGGTGCAGGTGTAGGCCATTCAGCCCTTCGAGCCTGCACCACCATTCAATATGATCACGGCTGACCGTGCAATCTCAGTATCCCATTCCCGCCCTCTTCCCATACACCTTGATCCCTTTAGCCGCAAGGGCCACGTCCAGCTCCCTCTTGAATATATTTAACAAACGGACCCCAACAGCTTCCTGTGGGAGAGAATTCCACAGGTTCACAACTTTCTGAGTAACGGAATCTTCCCTCATCTCAGTCCTGATTGGTCTACCCCTTCTTCTTAGACGATGAACCCTTGTTCTGGACTTCCCCAACACTGGGAACATTCTTCCTGCATCTAGCCTGTCCAGTCTCATCAGGATTGTATATGTTTCTATGAGATGCCCCCCACTTCTTCTTCTAAATTCCAGCGAATACAAGCATAGCTGATCCAGTCTTTCTTCAAATGCCATTCCCGGGAATCAGTCTGGTGAACCTTCGCCGGACTCCCTCAATAGCAAGAATGTCCTTCCTAAAACTAGGAGACCAAAACTGCAATACTCAAGGTGTGGCCTCACCAAGACATCCTTACTCCGATACTCAAATCCTCTCACTATGAAAGAGAGCA